TGGTTCTCCACTTTCCTTGTTGTCTCCCATATGTTTGGATCCTCCTCTCTGGTATTCCCAGTGTGTTTCAGCTGTTCGTCGTTGTCAGAGAAAGGTTAGTGATTGTGATGTCTTGTCTTCACAACCTCATTTTCTTTATCGTTTGCTAGTCCCTCAACATTCTCACTGGAATGAACAACATCACGCTCTTCGGATTGTATTTGGGCACGTGTTAATTTGTGTCACATTGTCCTGCACTTGCAGACCTTCTGTTGGCGCATTGTTCACAATATTTTACCTGTGCGGGAGCATCTGTATGTTCGTGGTATCAGTGCCTCCGAGTGCTGCCCGCTCTATCATGCTCATGTCGAGTCAATCATGCACCTTAGGGTTTTGTGCCCTATCTCAGTCCAGGCATGACGTTTTTTTCTCCACTTTATTTCGTATTTCGTTCCTTCTACCTACTACTGTTCTTTACCATGTTCCATTACCTGTGTCCAGGAACCTTGCTTTTTCCTTTCAATATTGTTTAATTATTTTCAAGCATGTCATTTGGCTGATGCGAAATAGATATGAATACGAAATGTCTCAGGACACTTTTCTTAACGTCTTGCGTCAGGTCAAGTTTCGCCTTTTCTTGCGTACGGAGGCTGACTGTCAACTCCTGGATCCTTTTGTATTCTATAATCGTTGGCGTCCAGATGTGTCGCCACTCTGCACTTTGACCGGTGATCGTGTCTCATTGATATTTTAATTTTTAACGTATTCTTGTGTAATAGTGTATAATATCAATTTGTACTGTTAATATTGTGATTTTTCATGTATCCTTGTGTACTAGTGTATCATCTCATTTTGTAATTTTGCTTTTGAGCATTGCTGTATTGATTTTCTGTGCTCATGTCATTCCTAATTTGTATTTGCTGTATCATTTGATTGTCAGTGTTCCTTTTTTGTCATGGTTTGTAACTCTGTATTTTTCTGTATTTCTTTTTTTTTGTCATTAAAATTTCAAAATTGTATCATATTTCAGGGCTTGGGATCTGTCCTCCCCATTAATCATCATGACCCTAGCATGTGGTGGAGTCGATTTTATGCACATGCAGTGAGTTAGGGTGAAGTTGAAAGGCGTGAGTTCTGTAAATATCCCCTTAACGTCGGTCCAGTGTTCTGGGTTACTTGTACCGTCCTGGAGGAACCATTTCAGCTTCATTGGCCCACAGTGTAATCCAACATTACAGAAAGTGATTGATATGAACAATATATATTACTGTTGAATTATAAAAATAAAACAAATGTTCACTTATCAACGAACTTCAATGAAATTGTTTAAAAATAAAAAGCAAAACAAGTAATAAAAAATTGCAGCAATTAAGTATGATGTAAGGATGTTAGTGCCAAAAAGTACAGAAACAATAAGTAGCCAGTAAGTACTGAGTCAGTCTTACAAGCTTATCGTAATTGCATGCTTTTATTCAAACCTGATATCATGTAACTGACATTTAGCTATATATAAAAGTTGTTCTTGGAAGATTTGGCTACTTATGTAGTGATTTTTACATGGTTTTGTGTATTCATCTCTACCTTTTTGACATTACCATTCCTAAATCATACTTAATTTTTGCAAAAAAAAATATTACTTGTCAAAATGTTACAGTAATGTCACATCAAAAATAAAATGATCAAAATGTCTCTTATCTAAACCCTAATCAAAACCACCGTATCAGGCAGTTACAAACAAAACAGACATTCACTCTTACTATTTATACTAAGTAGGTAAAGCAATATTAACTATTGATGTTTCAACATACATCTATCATCATTCCAACAGAATAAACTGAGTAAATGAAGTGAACATGCTTTATCTGTTATACCACCTTTACATGGGTAAGGCAAATCGAATAAGCAAACTACTAATACTGTATGTGTTATAATTGTTTGTTTCTGTTTCTTGATAAGCACAAAGTTAAACAATGGACTGTATGCGTCGTGCCAACCACGGGTATCGAAAATCGATTTTTAGAGTTATAAGCCCTCAGGCTTACCATTAAGCAACTGGAGGAAAACACAGACAATGTACTAGTTCTAGATTCTTACACTAACCTAAACGGATACATTTAATTTTTAGAGTGTAAAACTTGTTCTTTTTAATTTTCACTTTCCAATTAACTTTTCGTGCATTTTTTCCTTAAAGTACAATTTATGTGAACTTCGATGTGTGTAGGGGAATTTAAAGCGGTTCTAAATTTAGAAAGTTAGTATCTAACTTGGCGATGAACTACTTTTTAGTTGGAGCCGAAACCTCACCAAAGACTTTGTGAGTTAATGTAGATAAAAAAATCTTTCGCTGTTTTAGAGTCGCGGGCCATACGGAAGTTTAAAAAAATGATATAAAGTAAAGACTTTTTTCTAAATATCGAGTGACATCTAATGAGGAAACATTACAACAGTAAGAATTCCTTAATCTGTTGTTTTAACCATCCTTGCTGATAGCCAGATGACCAATAAGGGAACATAATAACAGTATGGTTTCTTAACGAGTTCTTTTAATGAGCCTTCATGATAGCTAGATGACCAATAAGGGAACATAATAACAGTGTGGTTCCTTAATCAGTTCTTTTAATGAGCCTTCATGATAGCTAGATGACCAATAAGGGAACATAATAAC